CATGCTCTTGGACCCAGGAGCGTTTGCTGGGGAAGTGTTTGTCTTCTAGGACACTGCCAGCACCTTGACTGCAGGGACTGGACTGTATTGTATTCTCAGAATAAAGCACAAACTGGGTACCCAATGAATATCTGAAAAATTGAATCTTGCTATTTGCTACTGAGACTGCTTCATTCTCTGCACGGGGTGTGAAAGTGAATGAGGGAGAAAAATCACAACAGCAGCACTAAGGGGGAGGCACAACGGCCATGTATTAGGGACGTGCCTGGAGGAGCCTCAGACACGGACGCGCTGGCTGCTACGAGAACAACAGTTTAATGACTGATGTCCTTTCGATCATCGTTATGTCTGAAGTCTAACAGATTCAGCCTTTTAGACTTAGAGTACCAGTTCTTTAGAAACACATTTTCTTTTTTAGAATAGTCTTAGATTTACAGAAAAATTGCAAAATAGTATAGAGTTCCCCTATACTCCACACCCAGTTCCCACGGTTATTGACAGCTTACACTAATTACTATGGTACATTTGTTACAGTTAGTGAATCAATTTTGATATGTTATTTTTATTATTTAAAAAATTATTACTATTAAATAAAGTACAGACTTTAGTTAGGTTCCTCACTTTTTATCTAATGTGCCTTCCCCCCACCAGGGTCCCATCAGGATATCATATTACATTTAGTTGTCATGACTTCCACTCCTCTTGGCTGTGACCATTTCTCAGCCTTTCCTGGTTTTCAGTGGCCTTGACTCTTTGAGGAATATTGTTCAGGTATTTTATAGAATGTCTGTCAGTTGATATTTATCTGATGTTTTTCTCATGATTGGACTGAAGTTATGGTTTTGGGGGGCAAGACCAGAGAAGTAAAGTGCCATTTTCATCACATCACATCAAGGGTACGTACTATCTGCATGACTTAACGTTGACCATGATCACCTGGCTGAGGTAGTGTGTGTTAGTTTTCTCCACTGTGAAGTCATTCTTTATCTCTCCCTCCCCATACTGTACCCTTTGGAACAAAATCAGTAATATGCAGCCCGCATGTAAGAATGGGGAAGTTTTGTTCCACCTCCTTGAGGGCTAAGCATCTACATAAATAACTTGGATTATTATTGATATGGTTGAATCAATTTTGATATGTTATTTTTATTATTTAAAAAATTATTACATGCAGAAATAATTTTCTGCATGTGAAATTAGTTTCCTCTCCCCTATTTATTTATTTATTTATTTATTTATTTATTCCATCATTTATTTATATCAGTTTGAATTAATGGAGATCTATTTTATACTTTGGATTGTAATCCAATAGTACACTATTTATTTTGATGCTCAAATTGTTCCAGCTTTGGCCATGGGAAGGTCTTTCAATTGCCTCCTATGTTCCATCATTGAGGGGTTTGTTTTTGTTTTTTTGTTTGTTTTTTAAAGATATGTTTTTTATTGATTTCAGAGAGAGGGAGAGAGAGGGAGAGAGAGATAGAAACATCAATGATGAGAGAGTCATTGATCAGCTGCCTCCTGCACATCCCCTATTGGGGAGCGAACCCGCAATCCAGACATGTACCCTGACTGGGAATCAAACCGTGACCTCCAGGTTCATGGGTCAAAGCTCAACCACTGAGCCATGCCAGCTGGGCTGGTTTGTTTTGTTTTTAGCAGTTCCTTACTTTTTAGCATTGTAAGATGCTCTAGGGTCACCTTGTATATTTCCTGCCCCAGTTCTAGAATCAGCCATATCGCCAAAGAACCTGGGTCTCTTTTATTGGAGAATGGTGTTAGAAACCAAGATCTGGAACGCTAGGTGTGCTCATTGATACTGGTGTCTCATTGCTTCTCGGCCTCTCTACTGTCCAAGTAAGGAGATACATGTGTCTATACCAACCTGTGTATATACATATATCTTGGAATATTTCTATATGTATAAAGTATCAGTTTTGACAACAAAGTCATTACTCTTCAGTGGATAAAAATTTCTCTAACACACAGGATATTTAATCTTAAACCTAGAATTTTACTTCAAACCAAAAGAAGAATAGATGGGCTTTGGGGATATTTTTTTAAAAATTGATTTTAGAGAGAGGGGAAGAGGGAGAGAGACAGAGACAGAGACAGAGACAGAGACAGAGACAGAGACAGAGACAGAGAGGTTGCCTCCCATGTGTACCCCAACCAGGGATTAAACCTGCAACCTGGATATGTGCCCTGATCGGAAATCAAACCCAAGACCTTTTGGGTATATATTTCTCCACCAGTGGCTGTATTTCTCTGCCCAAAGCCACAGCCTTTACCAGTGGCCTTTCTTACAGTCACAGCTTTATCACTTCCTGGGTCCCCTTTGCCTTTCAGGATTAGGGGTGGTAACTGATTCCTGTTTCTTGCTAGCCCCAGGGCACTTCACCATTCCTGTTGGGTTCCCCAAAGCCTGCCCATGTCTTTGTAAAAACTGACTATATCAAACTACCTAAAAATAGGTGAATCAGATTCTCAAAAGGATCCATGACTCAAAAGAGGTGAAAAAGCCATTCAAGCAGAGGTACGTACAAAGTGATGTGGATATTAGTGGAAGGCACACAACCCATAACTCTGCTGGCTTCACAGAAGAGTGCTCCCCTCAAAATGCAAATCTGATCAAGTTATTCCCCTGCTTAAATTCTGTAGTGACTTCCTACTGTTCTTAGACTAAAGGCCAAACTCCTTAATATCACCCACAAAGCCCACCTTATCTCTCCCTCTCTAATCTTACCCCAAACACTCTTTGTTTGTTCTCTGCACTCCAGCTACCCTGTCCCTTGGGTTCTGCACTTGTGCCAGGCTCCCTCCAGCCCTGCGACCTCGGCACCTGCTATTCCTTCTGACTGGAAAGGACCCCCATCTTCTCTCCTCATTATCTAGGACTTGGTTCAAATCACCCCCAGTCCAGGTCAAGTTCCTCTGCCATATACCTGATAGGATCTTGAATCCCAACTCTGGAGCACTTATCTCACCTTGGAACACATTTTTGTGTTTAGCCTCTCCCACTAAACTGTAAATTGCCTGGGGGATGGAACCATGTCTATTTCTGTTCACTGCTGTGTCCTCAGCACAGTGCATGATACATTAGAGATGCTCATAGGGATGTGTACAGAAATGAATGACTGAAGGTGATATTTGAGTCAGACTGTAAAGAGTCAGTTTTCCAGGAGTCTAAGAGGTCACCTGAGAGCTCAAGAACTAGTTAACCCTCTCAGTATATCCTATATCGACTTTCTTACGCAACAGGCAAAGGCCCTCAATGCCTCCTTCCCAACCCCAGGATGAAAATAACCCATCAAGATTACCTTTCTGTCAGGGGTGAGGACCAGCTCTAACTGGTTGTAAAACTCCTTGGATCTGGGCAGCTGGCACTCCTTTGTTGTTTCCAGGAATGCCTCAATGTCGTTCAGTGCAGCGTCAACACCCTCTCGCGACTGGCACTTGTCTACAGCTTGGGAAGCCAAGAGGTAGATTCCAGCTTCACACCACTGGCTGACCTTTTGAAAAGAAACACAGTACCCTGTGCAGTTGGCATGGCCACAACAGTCCTCAGGAGGTCTGAGCTCCTCTGGGTCTACCAGGACTCCAAGACACTGGGAAATTGTCAAGGGACAGGATCAAGTTGAGAGGTCTAACCACTGTAAATACAACCGAGAGGTGGACAAACCCAAGATAATTTTACATCTGTCCACTTCTCAGGGAAGCCACCCAATCAATGAAATGAATCGTGTAAACATTATTCTGTTTTCTACTCACAGTAATTACTACCCTCCAGGAGGAGAAAGTGAAGCATTTCTAAGTTTGGTCTAACTATAGAGACATGTAACCAATGATTAGGTCTAACTACAGAGAAATGTAATCAATGACTTTTCGGGTTGACCTTCTAGGCCACTTGTCTTGCCTCCTAATTGGTTACAAGAGCACAGGGTCATGAATAAGGCATCAGACCCAGCCCCTACATGCCTTCCTGAAGGAGGGACTGTCCTTTTAACAAAAACACCACTTTTCTCTGCCCACATTTGCACTTATTGTCATTTGTCTTTCCCAGGAAGACATCCAAGGATAAAAAGTTCTGTAACTCAGAACAGCAATAATGTCTTTATTTTTCCCCTAAATTATCTACATTGAATGCGTACTACTTTTAGAATAACAAAAAACAATGAAGATATTTAAAGATTAATGATTACCACTGTGTGGGGATGAGAAGGGAAGTGGAATGCATAGGTGTCCATCAGTAACTTTTTTCCTCCTCTTTCCTACATTTTTGGATTTTCAAAATAATATGAAATCATGCTTTAATATATACTGTGAAGACTTTGTCTTGAAACATCATGCCTAGATCTGCAGGAAACATTAAGCTGGGGCCTTCCGCAGAGTCACAGTGGCTGCATGCTCTCCCGGAAACACACACACACCCTCCACACCTCAGCATTAGGCTTGTCTCTACAGCAGATACGGAGCGAGGGAAACAGTAGCTGATCCTGCAGAGAGCTCAGCACACAGAGCAGGCTGCTCACCAGGTCCTCCTGAGCCTCTTGCTTCTGGAACAGCTGTATTTCATTGACCTTAAAAATCTCTTTGGCAATGGGATGGTGTAAACAGCCTGGGTAGGTGCCCCCAGCCATCAGAGAGAAAGGGCTATAGGAATGGAGCTCACCAACTCATGGCCATGAGCCACATGCTGCCTAGGAAGAGTTGACAGAGAAGGCTCCAGAGATCACTGCCCCTGTTGACTGGGCACTTTCCCAAGAGATCACTGCCAAAGGGTACCAGAGGCCAAACTCCCTCCCTCCCTATGATCCCTCTGCACACACAACATTGCTATCTGGTCTAAGGAGCCTGGGGTTTGGAATTTGGCAGTCCTGACTTCAAATCTGCAATCCCCTATTTACTCCATGTGTGGTCTTGGGCTGTCACTTATCCCAGGGTTTGTCAGTGCATCCCTGTAACACCTGCACCAGAATCACCTGGACACTTGATGAAAACACTGACTCCTTGGCATCATCTCAGACTTACTGAATCTCAGTCTCCAGAGCGGCATGCCAGGGAATCTGCAATACAGCAAGCTCACCTGGCAATTCTCATCCACTAAATGTTGCAACCCACTGACTTAACCAGGTTGAATATCAGTTTCTCACTCTATAAAATGAGATTAAATAGATGACATAGTTATGCTCCCAGTAGGAACATAGTAGGTGCTCAATAAATGGTAGGAGTGTATAATGGTTATTATAACTTAAGCTTCTCCAAAAGGATTCACAATCCGATGCTTTCAGGTGAGAAGAAGCACTTTGCAAATATAGTTCTTGGTCTCTATATACCTGAAGGGGGTGGGGAGGAGTCCCACAGGGCCAAGCCAAAACACACTCTTTAAGTCTGGGTCCGCACAGAGGGAAATGGACTTAGTTCATTCTAATAGGATGTGGTGGGATAGCTGAGCACTTTTGACCTTCAGCGCCTCTATGACCTAGAATCTGCAGCTTTTAATGCCTTTTGAGCACTGTTTCACATGAAGTTCTTTATCTTCTCAGCAACCATGTGGGGCAGGGAGGTCAGGTATGATTAAAGCTGCTTTACAGAAAATTTTGCAGACACATGGTCACAGCTTTGTTTTGCTCACCTTGTCCAGCTGTCTATGCAACTCCAAAGACTTTCCTAAAATGTCATATTTTTTCTTGTTTTCATTGATAAAGTGATCGCAGAGGTGCCTCAGCTCCACACACTTGGGTCTGATAGAGTCTGCTGCATAGTGGTGGCTTTGGATGAGCTGGTCCCCAATTATCGCAAGCAGCTGGGCTTTTTCCAAGGGCTCCTGCAAAATGAACATGCACAGCCAAGCATCACAGCCAGGGCATGGTGAGGCAGATGCCTGCCTGACACTGTGTGCTCTAATCCTAGAGGGAGGCTAGGGAGATGCTGATTCAGGTTTTAGGCTGAGAGTGTAGGGCTGGGGAACCTAGGCAAGCTCTTCCTTTAGCAAAAAGTGTGGCCTAGTCCAGGGTCATCTGCACTCTGGAGAAGAGCAAGTCATTCATTCAAGCATTCATTGAGTTCTGGGGTAGGCACCAAGGATACAGTGTCAACAAGTCAGAAATTTTCAGCCTACTGGAGAACTCACATATTAAATTATACAAATAATTAAATTATTACAATGTGGAAAGTTCTAGGGCAGAAGTGTTATACTGCACAGAATAGGAGGCTCTGGATTCCACTGTCAACTAAATGGCAAAGGGAAAAAGACAGACGTGTGGCCCTGAGGAGAGCTGGGAGTGAGGTGAAGTTAAGGAAAGGTAAAGATCTGGTTTGGACCACTCTATGGGGGAGTCATGAAGACTTAAGAAATATGTTCATATAAATACCTTCCTGAGACCACAAGCTCGCCATCTGCTCAGACCTGGCGTCTGCTCAGCAACCACATCTCCTCCCTCTGTCTGCACGGCTGGCTTTGTTCTAACCACACGTGCCATGTTTTTCTGTTTTTGATCCTCACATGTTAGTGAGGTTGACCGTGTGTCAAGCACTCTCCAGGTACTGAGGATTCAGTGGTAAACATAGCAAGCAAAACCCCCTGACATCATGAAGCTTACATTTTAATAGGAAACACAAACAATAAACAAATGTCGATTAAATATTATCTTCGATAGTGATGAGTGCCGTGAAGAAAGATTAAACAGGGAGTGGAGGGCAAGAAGTGCTGGTGGAGCAGTTGCTATTTTAAATGGGATGGTGGGAGAAGGGCTCACTGAGAAGAGCTAGCTGAGTTGTGCTGAAGAGTTAACACTGTAGGCCCGAGAAGACTATCCCGAGAAAGGCCTGCCTGCAAGGTGGCACCTAGGAATGTCAGGAGGGCTCCTACCATCCCCATGGAGAATGGCCTACCATGCCTAAACTGTGCAAACCACAGGCTTTATGCTGAAGCCCTGCTTTCTTTCTGTGAATCTGGATTCTGGTATATGCCAGGCAGAGGCTACCTACATGACCAGCTCCCAATAAAAACCCTGAGCACTGAGCAGTGAGCTTCCCTGGTAGACAACATTTTACAACGTTGTCACAATGCACTGCGAGGGGCATTAAGTGAATCCTGAGGGACACCACAGGAAGAAGACTTTTGGAAGCTTGCGCCTGGTATCCTCCAGAGTTCCCCCATGTACTTTTTCCTTTTGCTGACTTTGCCTGGTGTCCTTTCACTGTAATAAATTATAACCACAAGTGTGATTATATGCTGAGTGCTACGTGTCCTCATAGCAAATCTTCAAATCTGGGTGTGGTCCTGGGAACCCTGGAAACAGAACCCAAGACCCGAAGTGAGGACAGGCCATGCAGTACTTGGCCGGAAGTTTGGGGCAAGTTTGACGTGTTCAGGTAATAGGAGGCAGGCACTGTGGCTGGAGCAGAGGAGTAAGCAGGAAAGGCGTAGGAGGTGTATGCAATTAGTGAGCGAAGGGAGGGACCGGACGGGGGAGGTCCCTGCTGCCACTTTGAGCACTTTGGCTTTTATTCACCGTGACATGGAAAGTACTGGAGGTTTTGAGGAGAGGTCTTCATTCATAAGAAGCAAAGCAGGGAGACCAGTTAGGAGCTACTGCAGTTATCTGGGTAAAGGATGTGGTTTAAACAGGGCTGGCAACCAAACTAGCTCCTGCCTCAGTGCCTTCCCCAGGATGCTCCTCCCATGGCCACTCAGGTCTAACGTCTCAGTTCACCTCCTGGCAGGCCCTTCTCTGACTGCTGTTTCTAAAGCCACTCCTGGCAACTCCCCCCACCCAGGCCCTCTCCCTCACTTTGTTTTCATTTTCTAACAACTCTCACCTCTATCTGAAAGTATTTTTGTTTACTTCAATGTATGATTTCTCCCTCCTTTACCCACTCCCACCAATATGTAAACTCTATGAGGGCATTTAGTAGTAGGCATCCCATAAATATTTCACCAATATAATGAATGAATGAACGGATGAATGAGCCAGTGCACTAGATGATGCAGTCATCTACTTGGCTGGAATTGTGTAAAATGACACTGACCTGAGAGTCACCGCAGATGACTGCCACCTTCCCAGAGTCTCCAGGAGCAGAGAGATCATACGCACCCTTGCATACCACAGGGAGCATCCAGTCTGCCACATCTGCCCTAGCTTAACTTTTTATAGTAACACAAGGAGTCATGATGACCCCAGGTGATGACAACTGGCCCCTCTCTTAGCTTACAATGATTCATGGTTTTAACCATCTCTAACCCCCACCCCCTATACAGCCAGTCATTCACCAAGCCCTGCAGAGCCCACACCCTTCTTAATACCTTTTGAATTCTGAGCCCTTCTCTACCAACTTCTTGTCATTATTTGTCCAGGCCTTTATGCTTCCCGACCGGATAGCTGCCTCTTTGCTCTCCTGCAGGCTGTCCTTCAAACCATGCTCCACACTGCTGACAAAGCAGCAATTCCAATGTTTATCACGCCTACATCACTCCCATGCTTCCAGTCCTTTCTCGCTTCCTACGGTCTTCAGGAGAAAGCTCAAACTCCTGAGCAATGCATGCCTCCTCTTCCTCCACTTCCCTCACCCCCATCCTCTGCTGTAACCAGACTAATGACCCATTTGTAGTTCCCCAAATATCCAGGCAGCTTCAGGCCTCCAAGCCTTCTCTGCGTGCTCTCTCTTCCTAGAAAGCCCATCCTTCCCTCTCCACCCCTGCCGCCGACTGCTCCACCTCCCACCTCCCACCTCCCACAGCACCCATACTCCTCTGGAGCTAAATCTATATCACCCTTCACAGTTCATCTTCTCCAGCAAACATTCTCTAACTGCACCATTTTATTCTGACGCCCCTGCTCTGTGCTCCCATAGTACCCTGTGCCTTTCTTGACCCGAGCACACACTTCACTATACTGTGATCACATACCTATTGTCCTCACTATGCACAGACCCCGGTAGGCACAAGCCAGCTCTTCTTCAACTTAAAACAGTACACGGCACAAATTAGGTACTTAAAAATAAATAATCGTTGTGCAAAACATAAAGGAGTAATGATATACAAATCAAGCAGTGGCTATTAAAGAGAACTCAGGGATTAATGCCCAGTGTGCTTGTTCTGAACAACAAAGGCCCAGATGCACTGGTTACCGTCCCTGAAGGGAGGTTAGGATGCGAATTCCTCAAGCTGTAATTTTGAATTGTGTGGCTCACTGCTGTGCCCTCAGAACTTAGAACAGTGCTTGGCATGGCAGGATATCAGTAAATATTTGCAGAATGAATGAGACACTCTTCCTGGGACTGCTCAGCCACTGCACGTTGAACCTGGGCGACATTCTGCAGCACAGAACTGACTCCACTACCTCTATGATGTCAATGGCAACAGCTAACATTCAGTGAGACCTGACTACCTGCCAGGCACTGTTCTGAACGCTTACACTGTTTCTTTTACTCTTCACAACAAGCCCTTCACCACAGGTGCTGCTTTACAAAAGGAGTGAAGGCACAATGGCCCAAGGTGACCCAGGTAGGAAGGAGAAGGTCCAGGCTTCACACTCAGGCAGCCTGGCTCCAGAACCCGGCTCCGACCACCACGCACAGACAGATGCCACACTTGTGCTGCCTAAGCTTAGAGGCCTCATTTGGTTGATGAAACCTGTCTGACTTTAGTCAATATAGAAGCATGAAAGCTTGGCAACAAAATATCTGTTGACTTTTTTTTTTTAAGTTTAGCTGCCTAATTTATTAAGAATAGCACCAGCTTTCTGGGAACAGGGGACTACATCATCACAGGATATTTCACAAGAGCCCTAAGGTGATCACAGCTTACCCTTCACTTGCATGTGGCATCTCACCCTTCCAAACTGCTCTTACAACATTTGAGATTTGGGAGGTAAGCTGTGAGTAGTGGGTGAAAATGGATCTTGGGAAAAGATCCATAAATATAAATTAGGAGCTACAGCTGGATGGCTGGACAATCACTCTACTGAAATGAATGGATAATAATAGCTTCTGAGTTCTGACGACCTACTATGTTCCAGGTACTTACTAAGTCCTTATTATACCACTAAGGCATTTTGTCTTCACAAGGCCTCTGTGAGGTGGGAATTATTATTATCCATTTTTCAGGTGAGGGGATATGTTCAGAAAGGCTAAGAAACTTTACTAGGGCCCTAGGGTTGTACAGCGGGTAGTTGTCAGATCTGAGCTTTTTGAGTCTGGTTCTGTCTGACTCCACAGCCTGTGTTACCACCTTCCAGCCCACTTGGCCTCCCACACGTGCTCTGAATAATGGCTGTGTAACCACAACTATCAAATCCTTCAGAGAACTTACAAAGAACTTTACTGTAAAACCTCCAAACCATAGCTTATGTTTTAGACTAGACAGCTTCTGTTCATGTTAAATAGGCAATAAAACCTAAGTAAAAAAGAAATAGAAAGAAATGGCTGAAATCTGGTGCCTGATCACAAGCCTTTCAGAAGGCTGGGTAGTCAAATTGCAATATGTAATTCAAAAATCTTTACTATAATAACAGCTTATATTTCTCCCAAGGACTCTACTGCTATGAAGGGTGAAAGATGAGACTGTCTACGCTGGAAGAAAGTGGTGAAAAACAGTGATGCTGCTGTATCAGGGAACCCAAATGGACCCAGAGACGATGGCATATGATGGAATGTATGTCTGGGGAAGTGGGCAAGGTGAAACAAGAAGGGTAGAAAGTTAATGGCTATTGAAATTGAGCAGTAGATACATGGGAATTCATTTACTAGTCAATCTACTCTTGCATGTGTTTGAAAATTTACACACACACACACACACACACACACAGAGTCATGCCCCTCTAGTAGAATATGTCCCTGGGAGGTTAATAATCTGGGTTCCATACCTTCTTGCACATAGTAGTGTAACTGCTGGCCCCTGGCCTTGTGGGGAGAGGTCAAGCCTGAAATTGGGTTGGTTCTCCCTGCCCTGTCCTGGTCTGTTTCTGGCTAGTTCATCACCCAAGGCCCCAGCATGCCTCCCAGCCAAAAACTTGGCAGCAAGTTCTGCTTTTAGAAGTAGGAGAGTAGCTTGCCCGGCCGGGCGTGGCTCAGCGGTTGAGCGTCGACCTGGGATCCAGGCGATCGGGGTTCGGTTCCTGGTCAGGGCACATGCCCGGTTGTGGGCTTGAAAGATGACTCTCTCATCATTGATGTTTCTGTCTCTCTCTCTCCCTCTCCTTTCCTCTCTCTGAAATTAATAAAGATATATATATATAAATAAATAAAAAGAAGTAGGGGACGTGGCTGAAATCACTGTTTCTCAAAATAAAATATGAACACTCAAAGTACTGCTAAACCCTCAAGCAGGAACAAGATATAAGAGCAGGCTCAATTAGCATACAACCGGGATGTGGCAGTGAGCTGGCACCGAGTTACCCTTGAGGATGATATCACTACCCAGAATTAGGAAGTTACTAACAAACCAGAAATCAGTATGTGGCCATGCCAGGAGGTAAGTTGACTCCTGAGCACTGAGTGAAGGACAAACCCTAAGCAAGTTTCAACAGATTCTAGCCGGATATCACCTTGTTCCTTTAACACTTTGCAGAATAAATGGAAAGATTAGCCAAGCCCTTATCATCTGAAGAAGCAATGCCTCTTAGAAAACTGAGCACCTGGCTATGAGAAGATAGCTTTATTCAGTTCACCTAAAGACAGAGGAATCAACCTACTGCATCCTTTAGAAAACAAGTTAAAAAAGGGTAAGCAAGACACAAGATGGGTAAAAGCAACCTGCCTGGGCTCATCAGCAGTGGGTTAGTCCAGCTGGCTCAGGAACTCTGTCAATGAAAGATGGGTCATGGGTTCACAGAGTATTCCTATGTCCCACAACCACAGGCTGTGCCCCTAGCCCTAGTCAGCCGTCTTTAAACTATGTACCAAGGATCCCAGGTCCAAGGAGGTGGGCAGAAGAGAGAATGTGGATGCAGTCATGCCGATCCCTCCCCACTATTTAAAACACAATGCAATGGCTTCCCGTACCACTGAGAATGAAATCCAATCCCTACAGCCTTGCTCCAAGCAGGCTTACTCTGCTCCAGCCGCTCCAGCCGCATTCCTTGAGCTCACTAACCTCATTCCTGCCTCAAGACCTGGCACTGGACAAGGCAGCTCTCTTCCTTGAATGCTACTATCCAAATCTTTGTATGGCTATCCAGCTCTCAGTTCAAAGGTCACCTTCTTAGAGAGGCCTTCCCTGACTACCCCAGTCACTTTCTTTGCTAGCCTGTCATCTTCTTCATGCCACTTATCACTATCGGGTATTAGTATTTATTTGATTACTTTGTCCATTTCTAGACTCTCTCCAGTAGAATGTGAGCTCCATGAAAGCAGGGTCTTGACTGTCTAATTCACCATCATAATCACACAACCTGGAGCAAGGAATACCTGCTGATGAATGAACGCCTTCCTGGTAGGTCAATAGCTACCTTCATGGTAGCTATAAACACATTTTTCAAACCAAAAATAAAGGTACTAGGCTTGATGAGGCATATTTTTCTAATATGTAAATGTGCATAAGTGAAAATACATAGTATCTATATTTTATAAGGAGTTCTTTTGAAAAAAACAACACTAAAATTACATAAAATTGGGACTATATTGGAGAAACTAAAACATATGAGATACATGAAATTGTATCCTTTCATTGTTTGATACATGTTTCTGATGACTGCCTTCAGCACCAAAGTGTTTAGCTGTCAGTGACCATTAATAACAGAAGAGGTGCTCACCAGGGAAGGATGGGATTCCTGAGTGAAAGTCGGTGTACAGGTGGACCTGGGTTTTCACACAGGTGCAGAAAGTCCTCCAGCTCAGAGTCCACAACTGAGAGCTCTTAGAGCCAGAGTGGCCTTAGTTTCCATTGTTCCTATTCTTTAGGAGAGTATGTCTCTAACTATAATGTGCATGTCCATCACCTGGGGATCTTATTAAAATGTAGATTCTGATTCTGAGATGGGGCTAGATATTCCCTATTTCTAACAAGGGCTCACTCATGTGAAATCCATGCTGCTGGCCAGAGGATCACACTTTGAAAAGCAAATATCTGGTACTACAAAATAACCACCCAGGAAGCATGCCTCTAGATTAGTTCAGAGAGGAAGTGCTAACCATAGAATACTTGCTCCCCAAGAGACAAAAATACAGAGAAGCTAATTAAAGAAAAGCAGAAAGGAACTTCCCTGGAAAGAGATGACCGGGTTTTCTTAAGTCATATTAAGCCAAATGTATAAGGACTTAAAATAGAATCACTCCTAAATGCTGACCTGTGTGCAGATCTGGAAAACTATTTAATTCGGTTAAGAGAATTGTGAAATATGCCTTCTTTTACAAGTTTGATATTTACAACTCTTGGGGCATGAGAAAGGAGCAAACGTTGCCAACTCTGTTAGCAACAGAACTTATGTGGGTCCATTTCCCCTTTTCACTGTCTTGCTTGCTAGTTGTTTTTTTCTGGTTTCCCCTTCTAAAGTTTCCCCTCCCCACCACCGCACCTCCACACCCTGCCCAGTGGGTAATGTGCTCATTGTCACCCACACTCCGGCTGCTCCTCCACTGGTGGGGACACCCTGAGACGGGGCAGGGCTGCCCAGAGCTCTCCCAGGACCTGAGCCTCCAGGCTCCCTGGGGTGCTCTGCAGCCTTAACAGAACTCTCCATGGCAAGCACTGCTCATCAAGGCATGCATGTGCACATCTCCTTGGGGACCTGGGGTGGGAGTGGGGGGTGATGGGCAGGACAGACTTTGGACATTCTGTGTCCTTTGGCAACCTTCCAACCACGAGTGGGCACAATCTGCCACCATTCACAGTGACTACCTTCCCAGTCCACAAAAACGGCAAGAAACAAACCTGGCCTTTTCCTTCCAGTTTTTTGTGTTCTTTAAGAAGTTGCTCCACATGCATCACACTGTCTCCGACATCTGTAAACTCTGCTTGCTCTGCCAACAAGTTGTCCAGGGCAAGCTTAACCTACAAGACACATTAGAACAGTCCAGAAATAAGCCAATGAGCACCCATTTCGAGGTAGAGGTCTGCTATACTCTAAGAAAACTCAAAAACGCAAAAAGGATTCAGGACCAATGCATATATATTACAGCTCATTAGCTTTCAGATTAAGCAGGGGTGGGGGTGGGGTTGCTGAGACACATGTCGATGGAATATTAAAGCTACAATCAACAGATTATCAATCAGAAAGGAAGATAAACCATCACTGAAATACCACGTGTGCCAACAGGGAAACTGGATCCTAGAACATTACTACCCCACTGAAAAAGTGAGGACAGGATGTCTGAGAGGAAGGAGGGGGCTGGAGTAGGGGGAGGAGAGAAATCCCAACACCCAGAGTTCAAGGAGGAAGAGAGAACTGGAGAGCACTGAACCACAAAAGGAAATGCTATTAAACAAGAAAACAACACCTCACAAAAATTGCACTCAAAGTGCTGCAGCTGTATGCACTGGTTAAGCTTCAGGTGATGCTGCGACCAAAACTGATTAAAGGCTTTTTCTGTTTCATCCAACTGAACTAGTAACCTGTCAAGAAAGTGAGAAAATGACACTGGTTAACATTCATTTCCACAGGAGTGTGCATAGGCTTACGTAGCTAACATTTGTGTTTTTGGTCAGTGTTTTAAATTGTGGGATGTCCTTACTATGAAAGTCTGTGTCACTTATGACTTTCTCGTGGTTTCGCTGCATCCCATATCTTTCGTTTTCATTTCTCAGTCAGTACTGGGCAGAAACTTCGCTTCAGCGGCCGTGGCTGTGCTTTAAAACATGCCCCCGGTAACCTTACCTTGGAGCCTTTTCTCAGACAATGCACAGCACCCAGACAAACTGTTATTTGGAAATGAAACTCAACCAATACTACCACCTCCCTTGAAATCCTGGGATGGCCTAAGAGGAGGGAATGGCATTCTCGTAAAAACATCTCTGTAGCTGGATGCCAGATGGGTGCTGTCTTTTTTCCTTTGTTGTCTCAAATATTATTCTTTCTTCACCCTACCAAGACCCAACAGTAGCTGTTCTAATCTGTCCTTGGTTGTTTCAGATCATCCAGTTCTATATTCTCTCCTAAAAATATTTATATATTCCACCTTCACTCACCTTTCCATGGTGGCTACATTCTCAAGTTGATTGAGATTGAGTTTGTAGGTGGGATTTTTGGTTGCCGGTTCTTGAATACATGACAGCAATGTGGCCCCTTGCTTTCCAAGTAATTTTAGCTCATCCTAGAGAAAGAAAAACACTGTCTCTCTCATAAGAAATTAATGAAAAAATTCTTGGTAGATTTGGGGTAAGGAGAATGGTAGATCGGTATATCTTTCACTTAGGGAATTAAATGCTAAAAAATTCAAGCGGCCGATTTATAAAGTTAATTAACTTATTCTTAATGGGTAATGCATACACATAACATAAAGTTTAAAATATACAAAAGGATATATATTGGAAAAAGCAAGTCTTTGGCCCAAAGCCCATCCACTTTCCCTCTCTGAAAGCAACAACTGTTAAATTTTGTGTGTATCTCAAGCTGTTGTAAATTAAAAGCAAAATTAGTTAATAAAAACTGGTTCTAATCCATGATAGTGACCAGAAACAAGAAAATGACAAATATTGAATGTTAAATGTTGGAAACTGCCAAACAATAATAATGCAACAATTGCTAGATGGCCAGAAAAAAAACTACTTCATCTAGTCTCAATTATCATCTGTCTCTCCTCCCACCTACTTCCAGAAAGTTTGGCAGAGGTGGGCAACAATTTCAGTCTGACATGGAAAGATTCATCCTTCCAAGGCAACTCTATTCTGCTCTTTTTACATGGAGACTTAGGGCTTTGCAGTTGGGGGAGATGTCAGGCTATCTCCTTCCAAGTCCAACAGCTCGCGCCTTCTGCTCACACAGAACAGGCATCTCTCAGTGCCCTGAGCATTCACCATAGTGCAAGGCAAAAGGGTGAGGCCTAGAATTTTGCTCCCAGGAGTTCTGAATTTGGTTCCTGGGTCACACAGGATTCTGGTTTGGCATGTCCTGAGAGTTAGAAAAGTCCCATAATTACAAAGCAATCAGATCTATGCACATGAGCACTGAATCTGTTCCTCCAGGCCCAGCCACCTCCAGCCTTCCCACAGCCTCCAGCTCACTCCCTGCGGGAGGAGTTTTATGTCCTCCACTCTGGTCACAAAGAAGTCCGGCACTCTCAACCGCATGTCTGTTCCCTGTCCCCCACCCCACTCCAGTATTCACCCACTTGAAGGCTTCCATTGTCCATGCCCAGCCTCACGACAGGTATGACTTCTCTAATCTAGCCCCTCAAGATTCTCTGGATACCCCCTGCGTTGTGCCCACTCCAGGTAATGCCCCAAGTCAGCCACTTCGCTGGTATTACAGCCTGAGAACCGGACATATCCCTTCTTTTTCATTCTACGTATCAGCCCTCATTTCTTCTTATCTCATCAATGTTCATTAACTGTTTGATGAATTAATAATAGTCTAAAAGAAACCAAGTTACAGGTGAATAGACAAATAAGATATGCCTGGGCGAGGAATCACTCATTAGTTTGTGCTCATAGCTTTTCCCTCCTCTTCTTACCCACTAAAAAGGGTCCTGGCTTTTCTTAGTCTCTTAACTGCCCCTGAGCTTCCAGCAGTCCATCAGGATTCTGGCCTTAGCCATTATTAGAAAAAATATATGTAGATAGTGTGTGTGCACAATGCAGACTTGGGAGGAAAGGTGGAGAGGCCGAAGAAGAAGAGGCGTATTGCGAGCAGAGCTTGGAAGAGAGATGCACCCAAAGGGCTACAGACTGTGAGGCAGCGTGTGAGGGAGGGAAAGGGAACCTCAGTGCGTGATGTCACACACTGTGTATCCCCTTCGTGTGGTTAAAAAACAGAAGGAAAACTTGTGGCCCGGTTATTGCTTTGGCACTAGATCATGTCTTCAGCAGGGTTACCAACGTTTGCCATGAAAACAGAGGGCAAGTGTGAGGCACTACAGTACTTGAAAAGCATAAAGGCAAGTTGTTCAGCTCCAAAATGGAATTTTCCCTTGTCTACAGTAGTGAGAATTCAAAATATTAATACCTGTACAGAGCAGGCACTGACCAATCAGCAGAGCTGTCAGATACAATGAGAAACTGTCCCGAGGCCAACTGCAGTCCACGTGTTAATCCTTCAGTGGCCAGAATCATGAGAAGGTCTTGTGGGTCCTAGGAAATGGGCCAGGGAGGTGGAGCGGGGCACTCAAGGGATGTAAATATTTAACTCTTTTAACAATGGATACAGCTGTCCCAGTGTATACTGATCATTATGGTTCCATCACTAGAGGAACAAGCAATTGGTTCAGAAGAAGAACCCTTAACAGGGTAAGGGGACTTTTTCAGGCTCAAAATAATTTAAAATTTCTGGGGGAATTCTTTCCTATGACAAGGATAAACATGAATTGTGACATTCATTTAAAATATATTTATAAAGATCTATTATTACATGCCAGGCATTGTGCTTGGCCGGGTCATAGGCTGGGAGTGGAGGTGGGGAGGGAAGTAAAAGAATGAATCAGAGCCTAGAGAATATGAATGATTAATGCTTTATCATCCTTATTTCACTCTATTACTTACCCCATTTCTGCCACTAAAAGTTGTCTCTACTGTTATGTGTTGTTTATAGTGCTAATAAGTTCCAGAATCTGGCCTTTAAAAATGCAAGTCTTCATCATTCAGGAAAAAAAAGTCCCTGAAACACACGAGATGTCCTCTTTCCTCAGCAGATGCTGAGATCTTCTGTGGGTACAAAACTAGTTCAAAACACAGACTTGCAAAGGTATTAACACTGAAAATATCCATAAGAACATCAATTTTGTCTGCCTGTGCAAAACTGAGGCCTCTGTGCCTATTCATTTCTAACTATGTTCTCCGCAAATAGAGTTTGAACAAATGGGTCTTTTTTTAAGTTGTTTCATGCTACTTCATTTAGGGGGTTCCATTTCCACTCCTCAGTGGGTTTCATGCATCTCTCATATGCTTCTTCTCTCACTAGTCCATCTAGTTCTGCAGCATTTCTCAGTGTCATCTTGATAAGTCAACCATCTTCATAACAAGATTTGTTGACAAGACCTGGATTTTCTGCAAGAGCCTCATTAATTTCAGTTACTTCTCCTGATACGAGGAGAATCGAGTTCACTGGCAGCTTTCACACTTTCCAAAGCATCAAACTCATCTTTTTGTTCAATTTTGTCCCGATTTCAGGCAGACTATACTAAACAAAATCTCCCAGAGCTTCCTGTGCAAAATTGCTGGTTCCCACTGTTCCAATACAACTTTCTGTTGTTACCCATTCATGTATCTCTGTGAATTTATGCACCAAGAGCAGATTGGGGCTGGTGCGCAGTGCCCACGAGCAGGCCCCAGGGCTGTTGGGCAGTGCAAGGTGGGTGCGTAGGCAGCATGCAGGCCTCAGGCCCTGGCCCAATGCTTCGCAGCGTCCTCAGCACCATTTTTGCAGAAGTGCCTGAATAAAGGAGTCTTAAAAACTCCTAAGACTATCAGATTACTTCTAGGGCCTATGTAATTTTGATTTTCTTGATTATTTGTTACCTTGGTAATATTGATGGAACTGTCATCTCTGAATACAAAGTGGAATGAATACTGAATGGGACAAATACTGAATGCTAAGCAGTTATTCATATTTGTAAAGATTGCTCCATCACATGATTGAAGGGGCACTGGCACTTTCCCCTCTACCCTTGCATGATGAGAAAAGGCCTATGGCTCTGTTAAACTTCTTATTTTAACAACAACAACAACAAAAATGAGGGTCTTGCCCTCTTTAAATGAAGGCATAAGACAGTGACTTAGTTGACTAAAGCACCTAAGCGTGCAAGGCCAATGCCCTGAGTTTCTGGCCTAACCAAGACCAGCAAAGAGGTGAAAGTCACCTTCTTTGGGGCTCAGGAGGGAGACTGCTTCAAAACCAGCTCAGATTAAGACAATGGAAGAGCTGTTTTAAGAAAGGAAGTCTGTAGGGTCATAAGCAGGGTCAGAAAAGTACATACCTGCATTGGGTTTGTAGTTATTTTATTGTCGTCTTGGGGCCCAAGGATATTTTCTTTTTTTAACTTGAGATATGATTCATATTCCTTAAAATTCACCCTTTAAAGTATATAATTCTGTTTTTCCCCCAAAACATTTTCATCACCCCCCAAAATAAACCCCATACCTATTAGCAATCTCTTCATTTCCCCTTCTCCCCAGGCCCTGGCAACCCCCAGTCTACCTGCTCTCTCTAGGGACTTGTGTATTCTCAACATTCCATCTCAACTGAGTCATACAATATGTGGCTTTTGTGTCTACTTCTTTCACTACACATAAGTATTTCAAGGTTCATACATGTAGCATGTATCAGTGCTTCATTCCTTGCTATGGCTGAATAAAATTCCATTATATGAATACACCACATTTTGTTTATCCATTCATAAGTTGATGGACATGTGGGTCGTTTCCACTTTTTTGGTGTTATGAATAATGCTGCTATGAAGATTCATGTATGTTTTTGTGTGCAGCATATGTTTGTAATTCTTTTGTGTATATACGTAGGAGTAGAATTGCTGGGTCATATGGTAGCTCTATAACTTTTTGAGGACTTACCAGCAATGCATGAGGGTTCCAATTCTTGAAATCCTCACCAGCAGCTGTTATTATCCATTGTTTTTATTATAGCCACCCTAGTGGATATATCATTGTGGTTTTGATTTGCATTTCCCTAATGACTAATGATGTCACACATGTCTTTATGTACTTAATAGCCATTTATATATTTCCTTTGGAGATAGGTCTATCCAAATCCTTTGCCTATTTTGTAATTGAGTTACTTGTCTTTTTATAATTGAGTTGCAAGAGTTGTTTATATATTCTAGATACTAGAACCTCATCAGATATACGATTTGCAAGTATTTTCTCCCATTCTGTGGGTTGTCTTTTCACCTTGCTGATAGTGTAGTTTGAAGCACACCTGCTCATGAGCCCAGGCCTGGAGCTCTGTGCCCGGCACCTTCCTGCCTTGCTCCGCATTCTCAGTGTACTAACTTACTGCTCTGCAGGCTCCTGTGGTCTGTGGCCTGTGGGCCTGAACCACCAACCCTTTGCTGGCAGACTTCGCAGAGGCACCCCAGACCTGGCCTTCTGCACCACATACCATCTCTTCCAAGAATCATGGGAGGTGAACTTGGGCAAAGAAAAAGGTCAAATTTTTAAGAGGTATTTTTAGGGAAAATTTCCAGGATGCTTTCACAGTTCCAATGCAGACCTTTTTATTACCCAGAGTCATCTCGGGAATATACTTTGAACTCCTTTTCTGTATCAAGCTCCTTAAAAAGAGAATTAAGCAGTGCTCCCGGACACACGAAAGAATTAATTAGCCTCAATCACTAGATTGTGAGACTCCTCTAACTGAACTACGTGGTCCTTGAGTCTGCGGTCTTTCTTTGCGTTCCTGGCACATAGTGATGAGTGGTCAATAAATGTTGAGTAAATGAACAAATCCACCAGTTAGGAAAGCATTTTTGCAGATTTAGGGTCACAGATAAGAGTTAGCTCTTCCCAAGCTCCATGCAGCAGGAGCACATGCAATGCTAAGACGTCTCAACCTTCTAACCCTCCACTTGCTGCTCTCCTGAGTTCCAGGCTCCTGTGAAATAATGGATTCAGTATTCAGTCTGTGTTTCCGGAGGCAGAACAGGGCTGACATCCATCCAGTCAGCCCCAGGAAGACTTCCCTTGATTGCATGAACGAACCTGCCAAACTCCCTTGTCAGCAGCTCATAAAAACTCTTCTGACGTGCTTTCATGAATCATTTAATAGGTGCCTCTCCTTAAACCCAGTTCAGAGCATTTTCTCTAGTACTCTTTCTCAAAATAATCCCCAAATAAAAGACACATCCCTGAGAAAGTGAAGCAATATGTCAGCTTAGCAGTCTGCCCCCAAATTTCACAACAGCCACTAAAAAGCTTTTGCTTCAAAAGCCAACTCCCTGTTCTCGCTGCAATTTCAGCGCATTGTATCTTGCTCTGTCCTGAGCAGATCATAGGAGTGCTGCCCTTGAAGGGATGCTCACACACCTCATCTCACCAGCATCAAGCTGGAGTGAGTTTCCCTTTGCTGGGGTGCTTCTCACAGGTATTAATTGCAGTCCTTTGACATGCACCACCTAGTCTCAAAGATACTGTTCTCTTCACATAACTGCCTACCCAGAAGGCTGAAGATGTTCACTGGCTTCCAAGTCACTGGGGAAGAGGGAAGAAGAGGACTTCCCTTACTTCCTCTCTCCAGGAGGCTGACCACCTGCAGGCACAAAGGCTGGACTGTGAAAAGCCACTGACCACTCACCTGCAGCTTGTCCCGCTGTTTTGTGTGGGACATGAGAAGCTCTTCAGTGGATGGCACGCTTCTGGGCAGCCTGGTCGTGGCCAGGTGGGTCCCAAACATCTGAAGCATCTGGGCAGTGGTCTTCAATGTCAAGGCAAAGTTTTCGATGGCCTGGAAGGTCAGACAATCATAACAATGTGGAGGGCTTAACATTCGCCAACATACTTTATCAATGGAAGGGCAGTAGAATTAGCTACCATTTCCTGAGTACCTACAAAGGACCCTGTATTATACTCAGTGCTATACCTTTGTCTGTCATCTCAATAACCCAGATGGAAGGTATAAATCTGACTGAGGATTTACACTGGGTAAGATGCTGAAAAGGGCAGGGCCACTCCCCCTCCCTCTGATAACCCTTCCTTCTCTTCCGCCCTGTACAGCCCTCTGTCCTCTCCATCCCCTGCACACACAGCCAGGCTACCTCTGAGAAACCTGCCAAATGCCACTGAGAGGGTAGGACATTGAGGGGGAAATGAATGCAGTGATTAGGTCACTAGTGACCTTTAACACAGTCATTTCTGTTGCATGTGGGCAGAGATTGGGGGCCTCTTCCTCTCTCTTCTCCTTTACAAAAATTTTCCTTGTCCTGTGTCCCTTCCATTTATGGACCCTACTCTGCCACTAAATGAATACCTGCTAATGGGTTAGTGACTTCGCAGCTAATATCCAAGGTGAGACATCTGCATTTTAGCAGAATGCTTTAGGAAACATGGCCTAACCTAGAAAGACTGACACTGACTATATGAGGGGAGCTAGTTGAAGGTGAGTGGCTTTTCGGAGTCCCCCAAATCGTTCCACTCAGCCAGACTGGACCTGCCTTGCCCACTTTCCTCTGCTCCTGAGACAATTTTGCCCATAAAGGGGGAGCACAATGTCACATTCATCTCTTCCCCCAGGGCATGGTATTGTGCCTGTCACACAGGTGGCCTAAACGACTACTGAATGAATGAATAGTAGGAGCAAAGGGGCCTAACCTAATTTTCATTCGGGAAAAAGTTATTTCTGTTTCTATATCAGCAGAGAACAGTTCTGAAAACCCAAACACACATCATACAGAATGTGCCAGATCTGAGGCGGCCGTTCTTTACACCAGAGGCCAGGGCTGAGGCTGGCATGAGCAGGCTTCTGGAGCAGAGCATACCTCCCCCTGCTGTCTAAACCCAAAGCCTTCTCCATGTCAACCATTTCCCTACTTGAAGCACTGCTGGGGGTGGAATCTCCCCTATTAGCACAAGCGCTGATAAAGCAACAGTTTTTAAAAAATATTTTTATTTTTCAATTACAGTTGACACAATATTATATTAGTTTCAGGTGTATAACATTTATACAACTTACAAAGTGATCACCATGGTAAGTCTAGTACCCACCTGACGCCATACACAGTTATTATAATATTATTGACTCTATACCCTATGCTGTATTTTATATCCTCATGACTTTTATATCCTTTTATAATGCCAATTTGTACTTAACACCTTTCATCTTTTCCACACACACCTCAAATCTGGCAACCGTCAGTTTGTTCTCTGTATCTCTGAGTTTGTTTTTATACAGCAACAATCTGGAACGTTACAGTACTTTAGGCCTGAAAAATTAAACACTAACTTTTATAAAAATCTTTCTTTCAAGTACATCAAACTGTTACTACTTTCACATAATCTAATATCCACATAAGATACTCTTTTAACTGCACTCATGAATAGTCTATGATAAGTAACATAAAAATTCCAATTTATTAGGGAATTATAAGAAATATGAGATTAGTCAGTATTTTGTTTTATGTGCACTATCTCTTATAATGCATCTCAACTAGGTAGTATTCTTATCATCACCCCTCAGTCTATATGTGAGGAAACTGAGGCACAATGAGGTTAAGTGATTTCCCCAAAGTCATACAAAAGACAAGTGGCAGAACTGGAGTCGGACCTGGGTAATCTGGCTCCAGGCTGGCATTCTTAAACACAATGTTACCTTTTGGCAGTCAAAACGAGATTTAATAAAACTAGATTTGAAACTAGATAAACAAAAGACTTGGTTTTGAGACTTAAAAACTTGAATTAGAGTCCAGACGCTGATAATGTCTAACTGTGTCACCTTGGGTGTGCTATAATGCTTTTGGGTCTCAGTGTCCTTATTTGAAAAATAGAGCTAATGCTTGCTCTGTTTTTACAGGGAGTTTTTTGAGGACCAAAAGGAATAGCAAATGAGGAAGGGTTTTGGACACAGTAGACTGAGTATCTTACAAGTGTAGTAATAACAACAGTAATAACTCAGAAAGTCAGGCGTGAGGCCTGCAGAGGTCATCCTGGAAACAGAGGGAAGTCTGAGGTTTCTATGGAGGGTCCTATCAACAAATTAAATTGATCCCATGTGTCTGATTAGTGAACAGTCACCCTGGAAGTGGTCCAGAGGACCTAATCCTGGTAGGGTGGTAAAAAGATCTTGGCCTCAGTCCTGGCTCTGCCATTACCTGACGGCAGCACCTCGGATAAGTCACCTCTTTACTCTGAAAATCAGTTTCTTACCTATAAAACAAGGTGATTGAAATAAATGGTCTTTAAGGTTCTTTTCCATTCTAACTTTTTATGAGTCTAAAAGATCCGACATCTGGATAGCACACTGTTACCAAAAAAGGATCTACACATTCATAAGATATAAGATAATGTATATATTGTGAATATGCATTTCTAATATATATTGTGTATATATAAAATATATACATAAAACATGCAAAAGGCATGTAAAGAATATATCTAGTTGTTTTTTTAAAGTTCACTATAATATGTTTAACATGTGCACAAACACAAACCATGGATAAAAACTAGGCCTGGGGGGGAGGGTGTATGTGTGTGCACATGTCTGCTCATGTCACATCTTTAAATAATCAATCTTTGTGACCTCAGTTTTCTTTACCTTTCTAAATTCTTAAACAACTATTTGTTGCAACTTTGTGTTATTTCAAAAAAATCTAAGGCAACTTGAAAAACACAAGCAGCATAATAAAATAAAGGACAGGTAGAGAAATCAGAGCGAAAGGGAGAGCTGACTAGCCCAATAAAGCTGGTGGGATAGTAAAATTCTTTTAATTTTAAAGTAATGTATTAAAAATCTAGCAAGTGAAGAAAGAATGCCTAAAAACACCCCAGGTTCCACATTTTATATGATTTAAAGAAATTGCACCCCAGATGACCCTCATCACGCTCATGTATGATATTCTACATTAGCTTCCCTCCACATCTCATATTTAGGCTTATTTAGAATTGCATGTTTATAAAGAACTTTACAGTCCTTCATTTTTATATAAGATTCTCTTAGAGTCACCATTATTATGGTAAAACTGATGAGAAGTTTAAAGGGTTCTTGCCCAGTTCATGGGCTCTCCTCTAGGTTTTGGGAAGGGATGTGCCTTCTTTGAAATTACGTGGCATAGGAAGAAGTGAGGGAGGGATTAGAATCTGTTGCTTTGAAATTGTGTTGCTAGAAATCTATTTTGCTGAATTCTTAAATTTCCTTTTTTTTTTTTTTTAAGAAAAATCACAAAACATTACCCTCTAAAACAAGGTGAATTCTCCTACCCAATTAAATGTAGTTCAGGTGTTGGGCAACCTGTTTCCAAAGTGACCAGATAAAGAGGTGTGCTGACATAAGTTGTCATCAGGGTGGTGAACAGACCTTGTGATTTTGCTTAGAAGACCTAATTTTTTTTCAAGGGTAGAGGGGCTAAAAAAGCAGGGAAAGGGAAATGACAACTTTATATAGAAACACATTATTTGATGAGTTTCAGTTTTACTTTTTCCTCAATATTACTGACCCTTCTAGTTTAGCATAATAACCATCAATCTGAGTAAATGAGAAAAAGGAAAACCCTATGTCAGGTGCTTCACGGCTTCCACTCTGTCTGTACATTAGAATCATCTGGGGAGTTTTGTGAGCCACTAATGATGGAGACTCATGCCAACTCAAGTAAATTAATTTCTCTAAGCTGTAGCAGGGTCTTTTGAAAATTCCCCAGGTGCACTCTAAGTTGAGTCCTCAAAACTCCCACGCCGGAAAATGAGGTGAGGTGAGGTGAGGTGAGGTGAGGTGAGGTGAGGTGAGGTGAGGTGAGGTGAGGTGAGGTGAGGTGAGGTGAAGGGAGTCAGCAGGAGAAACTCTGGCCTTTCCCCTTCACCCTACTTTCTCCCCAACCCATGGCTTTGGAAAACCCAACCTCCCCAGTGCCAGGTAGTCATAGGCAATAAATGACCTCCCAACAGTTGACCTTAAACTGCCCTGTCTTCTGGAAAACAAGGAGAGACACTGAAAAGGGCACACAAGTTGGTACTCACAGTTCTGTGATTTATCCACTGACTGTGGCGATATTCCAAAGTCCCCCCCAAGTCCTCTGTCAGTTGGCTTTTGTCAATGTAGCCTTGAAGGTCAGAGACAGAATTTAACATAACGATCTATAAGAGGAAAAAAATTAATATATTCCTCACAGATAATTTATTAGTAGCTCACCTCGTTCTCATTTATTTATTTTTTTAATGTTTTCATTGACTTTCAGAGAGAGAGGAAGGAAGTGGGAGAAAGAGAAAGAGAACCATCAGTCGGCTGCCTCCTGCCTCTTGCCTCCTGCAGGCCTCCAGCCCACAACCCAGGCATGTGCCCTGACCAGGAATCAAACCAGTGACCTTTCAGTTCTTCGGTTCATGGGATGACTCTCAACCAACTGAGCCCGACCAGCCAGGGCAGGATTCTACTCTTATTTAAATAGTACTTCAACTTTGCCTTCTGGCACATTTACATCTAAAATGGCTATTATATCCAGCTGAGAAAGTCCCTTTCCATTTCCCCCTTTGGGAGAATACCAAAGTGTTGAACAGTCTATGACAGAAGAGTGAGGTGGATCCGGGAGCTCAGTTCTAAGCACCTGGAAGTCAGATCCTGCTTGAGGTGAATTTCTGTCAAAAGTTCCCAGGTTAAGTTACACTCTTCAGCAACCAAAATCAAGTGGTATACTGGGACCTAAAAATCTGTGATGAGAACCTCAATAAAGGGTGGGCTGGTGGATATCAAAATAAAATTAGAATACAGGTACCTACTGAGGAGTATGTATTAAAAAGATTCACTCTGTTGATGTTCCCCCAATTTATCCTTATGGAGGAGATTCAGAGGTAACAGGAAGGGGGTTTTCATAAATGAACAATCTTGCTGATGAACACACCCATGTGACGAGTGAATGCCGGCACATCAAGGGGAAGATGACACAGTCCAAACTGCCCCCAGGCAGGGCCCTGGCTCTCTATCCCAGGCACCATACCACACCCTTTACTCCTGACTAGGAGCATGGACCCCTCCTTCCTGTCTCTGAAATGCGCCCCCTGAAGTCTTTACTAATCACCTTATATTTCTTCACTCCATGTTGATTATTTTGAAAATTGATTCTTGGTCAGAGAACATAAGAATATAGGCTTTCATCCTGGCCCGTGTGGCTCAGTGGGTTGAGCGTTGTCCTGTGCACCAAAAGGTTGCCGGTTTGATTCCCAGTCAGGGCACATGCTCAGGTTGCAGGTTCTGTCCCAGGTTTGGGTGCACATGGGAGGGAGCTGATCAGTGTTTCTCTCTCACATTGATGTTTCTCTCTCTCTCCCTCCCCCTCCTTTCCTCTCTCTGAAATCAATAAAAACATACACATTTTTAAAAAAGAATATAGGCTTTCTTCTACTATTGTACAATATAAGTTAGGTCCCAAAGTCTATAGGTAAAAACAAAATTAATTTATTCATTCAACAAATATGCATTGAACTTATAGAAAATGCCAAGCTCCAAGGGATAAAATAGCAAACATGACGGCCCTGCCTTCAAGGAACTTAGGGATTAGTAGAATTTGATTACCACAGAGCACTCTGTTCATCTCATTAGGCCCCAGGACTTTCTCCTTCATTTCTGAAAAAGAGTTGGGGAATTTAAAAAAAAATTTTTCTAATATGAAATCTTTAAAGAGGGAGGGAAAACCCAAAAAACATAAAAGCCTGAATCTATCTGTGCCTTTCTTTCCTAAACATTTTAACCCACTTTTGGGATTTTCTAAAAGATTTTTTAGTCTTTCTACAGTTAGAAATTATAGGACACATACACATAACAAGAAATTATCAAGTGAAAAATGATTTTTTCTTCTGGGAACATTAGCAGCTATGGTAACACTGGGAATTTTTTTTAATACCATTATGCAACGTCGTATTGGGCAGAAATAACTTTGCCCCACAGCCTGGAATTTCAGAAACCTATCTTGCCAGGCCCATGGCTTCTGTCCCACATCACTCGCGGGAGAGGGTGGTGTGCATTCCACACCCGCCGGGATTCTGCTTTCTCGTCTTTCCTGGGAAAACCCAAATAAAGACTCTCATCCAGGCTTTTCCCTTCATCCTGCTTCTGCCTTCTGGCCAGAACCCAGTACGTCCCCCGTGGGCTTGGATGACATGAAGTGACCCCTCACTGAGACCTGGGAGTAGAGTAAACTTTGTCCTTCAAGCTCATTCTCGTTTCCTCCTGGCACCACCAGCTCTGCTGTACCATATCCAACATGCACATTCTCAGGACAGCTGTTATAGATTACCAATGCCATGCTTTTCCCTTTTCAGTGTACATTTATATTCTTATCTATAATTGATTAAAGCTGTTCTTTCAAGGAGATATGTGATCTTTTAATTATGAAAGAAGCGTTTTCTATATTCTGTCATACACTCCATTTTAAAAAACCAATTTGCATGTCCATAGCCTCTTTAGGAACTTCGACAAGACTGCCTTAGCCACTTCGAATAACAATTTTATGAGGCTGCTGTGAGTACAGCTATTGTAGAATAGATACATGCCAGCAATTGGCACTCAGAAACCCTTTGCTATTTCAAAGCAACCCTCTCCTTGGCTAAAGGTATAGCGAGGCTAAGTGACTTAACTGTCATTATACCCTGGCCCACCTGATTCTTATAAGAGTCATGCAAAATGAACTCCTTTCCCCTCACTAAGCCTGTGGAAATATAACTATTATCTCACTAGAAACAAGCGGGGAGATGTTATAAGAAAGGACAGGATGCTACAAAGTAAAGTGTTAATATCACAACCATGTTTTAAAAACAAAGTAAAAAAAAACAACAGTTTGAACTGTCATCTAAAAAGCAAAATGTATTTTGAAGTTTGGTCCCATCAAGCCTGGTAACCTAGGACTTCGGATTCTGGGCACATCTGAGCTGTGAGGGGAATGCACTCTTCTCTGTAAGGTGAAACGGCAACCTACAGGATGAGCGTCGTGCATTAAAAACACCCTGCTAACTCTGCCAAATAGTTTGGGTGTCTGAGAGTTTTCTAAAAAGTAGATTTTAGTTTCAAATTACAAGTATCATGGGTAGGGAATCAACACATTACCACAAACAGAAGTAGCCGAAGATACAGTATCAAGATAAAGTGTCCACTGTCTCCTTAGCACACAGACGCACCATGTGAGAAGCCGGATCTGTGTTCATATTGTCACATGGAGGGGTGTGTTTTATACACAACCAGGAAAACAAACAGGTATGACATTTGGTCAAATGCTCAGTTCAAACTCCAAACCCTTTTGAGTGACAAGAAGCCACTGACTACGCCTCATCTCCAAAGGGGAAGAAAGCTTATGATTCTCATCGCAGACTCATTAACCTCTCGTAAGTCATCATTTCTTCCCCAACATTAATCATTTTGTTTATTCATTTGTTTTGATTTTAGATTCCACATAAAAGTGAAACCTTACAGTGTTTATCTTTCTATGTCACAATTTCTTTGTCCATTCACCTGCTGATGGGCCTTCTTGTGCGTGCTTTTTCGTGAGCATGTGTTTTCATTTCTCCTTGGTGGGTCGTGGGTTAGGCGTACGTTCAACTTTAATAAGGGACTGCCCGCTGTTTCCACCGTGGCTGCAGCATGCCTTACCACTTTCAATAGCTGCGAAGTATTTAAGTGACTGGGTCGACCGTAATTTATTTAATCAGTCTCTGTTCTTCGGCACTAAGCTGTTTCCAATTACTTACTATTACAAACAATTTGGTAATGAACATCACTGTATATGTAGCTTTGTGCACATGTATGAAAGTATCTGCAGAATAACTTTTATGGGTAGGTCAAAGAGTGTTTACATTTTAGTTTTTGATAAATACTGCCAATTATTCCTTTATATTGGTTATTATCAACTTCATTCCTATCAGCAAAGTGTGAAAGTTCTGTTTTCCCCACATCTCTGTCAAAGTTATAGGTAAAATTTTTAATCTTGTCATTTTAATTTAATTTTATTTTATGAATATCACAATGTTGGTTTTTATTTTTACTCTACAGTTGCCTAGATTTATGTCACCCCCACATTTTAGATCCTTATTTTCTTTCACTCATACTACTACAATTTCTCTCTATCCTTCAATCTCCTTCTACAGTCTTGGACACCACCTTCGGGTTTATATGACTCCAGTACCACTTACCCAAGTCACTCCCCAACTCAAAAACCTTCACTGGCTCCCCATTGCCTACAGAATAAAATCCAGACCCTTTATCCTTACATGTAAGACCTATTTCATTTATTCTGCCTTTTCTTCCAAAAGATTATCCTATGTGTATTCCAACAAGGGCCTTCCCCATGAACCTCACATAAGGTGTGTACTTCCTGCCTCCAAGTCCTTACACATACTGTCCCCTCGACCCAGATGTCCTTCTCTCCCTCTCTACCTGTAGAGTCCCACCTTCTTACAAACCCAGCTCCAATGACACCTTCTCCACTTGCCCTAACCAAACGAAGACAAGATAAAAGGTCATGCTCACCGGTACTTTCATTTTAAATTCGTCTCGATAGTATTTAATACCAATGTCAGTGATTGTCCTCTGGATAAAGCGAGACGGACGAAGGATGAATATGAGCTGCAAGTTTCCCGGAAATGCTGCCTGGAAGGATCATGAAAATTGTCAGGACAAGTATCACATCCATTGGTCTCCTCTTGCGTAAGATCACAAACAACAAAGTTAAAGTGGACACCATGGATGCCAAAGAATTAGAATAGATTTCACAGGATTTCAGAGCTAAAAGAGATCTTAGAGATCAGATCATCTAAACCCCTCCGTAAAAACCAAACTAAACCAAAAAAACACACACAAAAAATGTTTTTGATTATGAAAACAATCCATACTCTTTATAGAAAACTTGGGAAATAAAATTATACATTAGAAAAAGAAAACCACTTATGATCTCATAGACATTTTAAATATTTTAACCTAATTACTTATAGGCCATTTTCTCTGCTTAAACATGTTATCATGGTTAAACTCATATTATAAAAATATTTTGCAACCCACTTTTTCACTTAATATTAATGCTATGAGCTTTTATTCTTGTTACTAAAAATTATTTTAAAATATTCTTTTTCGTGGGTGCACAATTTATTTAACTATCTCTTATTGCTAGTGATTTAAGCTTTTTCATATTTTTGCTATTATAAATAACACTGAAATGAACATCTTTATGCACATTTTGGAACATTTTCTTAGGATAGCTTCCTAGAAGAATTATTAAAGACTTAGTATTATTGCTAAGCATATTATTGCTCAGTTGCTTTCAGGAAGCATTGTGTTCACCTTGAGGTGAGGCTCTGAGAAGTGAGATAACTCAGATTCATATAACAACTCTGGCAAAGTTGGGAATCCAAGCCTCCCTCTGCTCATGGCTTTCTATTCTTCCAGTGATTCCCAAAAGCAACCTCCTGCGTTGCTTGTTAGAAAAAATATCTGGTCTTTGCCCTGGAATGTTCTGATTCATTAGGACTTGGATCTGTAGTTCAGGTATCTGCATTTTCAATAAATACATGAAGAGATTCTGATTGGTAGCCAGGGATCCTGCACTACAGTATCTTTTATGCATAAAGTGATCAATGTAATGCTTGGACAAATTAGGCTCAAGTATTAGATGATTCAGGGGTTTTCTATGGGCCCTGGAAAATCAGAACTCCCTAGAGGTCAGACCTCTGGAATAGTCATGGGCACTGTCAAGTATCCAAATCCTCAGGGCATCAACCATCACTGTAGTTATCCCCCAAAATAAATCCTGTAACCAAAACTGAACCAAAGGGAATAAACAATCCATGTACAAAGGAAGGGAAACTTACCTTCTCCGGTGTTTGAAAAGCAAGGTCCTGAACAGAAGAACCTTGCCTTTTGCTATGTCATGACAGGACAAATGAGCTGAGACACTATGTACCTGCCTGAGGCTCTCAATCGATCTGAGAGACACTCTACATGTGCATATCTGTAAGTGTGACTGCCTCTCTAAGTAGTCATAAGTGAGGTTTCAAATGTCCCTTTCCTGTCCCAGCCTCTACACACACATTCCCATATCCCATCCTCCTCAGCCAGTCCTAACTGCCCCAGGAGGTCCAGGCTTTGGTGGAAATGCTGGTGTGGTTTGCCCTGAGGTGTCTCTGCCTGCCCATGTGACTGAGTCCTCTGGCCTGAGGTCCCTACAGAGAAAGGATGCATCTACTTGCTAAAAGGCAACCAACAGGAATAAAAATCAGGCTAATAAGATAAAAAAGAAATCTATCTAAGGTTGTACAAGTTAAGGCCAAACGTAAGCACACCTTCAAACAAACTACTTAAATGTCAGTTTGTCTGGTTTAGCCAGTGTCTTTCTAATATGTGAAAAAATAATTTGAATACTGAAATGAACACTGTCTTAGAGTAGATGACTCCCAAAGCAAGCCCTAAGGCAAGGACTTGGGTATAAAGATTTTATTGAGGAGGTAGTCCCAGGAAGCACAGTGAGGAAGTTGGTGGGTAAGACATTGACGGCTAGAGAGTCATTGTATCCATAAGGGGGGACTGTTGTGGGCAAGAAGGGCTGGGAGTCCCTGAGATTGTATGGAACATACCTCGGAATTGTCCCACTGAAGCTGGGCTATTTATCTACCAACTTCCATGACTCAATAGTTGTCCGTCATTCCTGGGGTGTTAACTTCCCAGCATTCTCTATCTACCCCTCTTCAGTGACCAGAGAAATGAATATAGTAGAGAGACTCAGGAAGCCTTTGACATGCTCAGGAATTCTCTGCAGTGACCTTTACGTGGCAGCGGGGATATGGATGTGACACAACAAAGACCTTCCCAAAATTTGGCATAAAATAATCACCTTTTCCCTGTGACTGATAGGAAATAACTGAATAGACCATTTAGATTACTTTTATAAAAAAAGCACAAAAATAAATAGTTACAGCTATTCGTGTCAAGGATGCTTTTACGGAGCTCCACCTGTCCCTTCGTCTGTCGATAACAACGATGAACCCGATGCCGGCAGCCTCCACACTGCAAAAGAGGGTGGTATCAGAGACCAGGTGAGACGCACAGGTTCTGGGCAGCTTCCTCAGAGAACGCATTCCACAGGCCCAGGGCACTCCAGGATACGTGGGAACACCCTGCACGGCGCAAGGGACTACATGGGTCTGCTTTCCCTAACACAGGAACCCACTTCCTCGCCTCATCTCCCTGGCAGCCTTAGCAGCACAAAAATAGTTGGTATCTCAAATCCTCTCAAGGCCTCTGTTTCTGGCTGGCAAATATCTGAAGGAAGATGCACAGTGTCAGTTGAGCACCACATGTCTCAGTGTAGGTGGAGGGCCTCAAGGCTGAGCTCTGCCATTTTTCCACTCCCAGGACTGGCATTCAGCGAACTATCAGTATCCTTCCCTAGGAATCATTCTGAGAGGTGCTCAGAAAAACACGCGTCAATGAGAAAATCAACTCCCTTCCAGCTCCTGGCCATTAATGGCCAGCAAACCATACGCATGAGAAGATATCTTCATTAAGACCAAAAGGAAGCTGGCTGGTCTCCTCTTAAGTCCCCATAATATTCCCACAAAATCCTTTTAAACTAAAGTCCTAAAAGGGAAACCTTTTTTTTTCTATCTTTGGGAGGAAGTAGAGAGGAAAGAGCAAGGGCTTTGGAGCCCGGTTCCAATCCTAGTGCTGCCACTTACTGCCACTGAGAAACCAAGGAGATCACCTAACCCCTCAGTGCTCAGTTTCCTCATCTGTAAAATAAGACCACCAACAACAACAGTGGAGTGGTTAAAAGCACATTTTTCTGAAGCCAGGCTGCCAAGGTTTGAAACCTTGGCTTCTTCCATTTATAGATTGTGTATTTTGGAGGGGACATTTAGCTTAATCTCTTGAATATCTCAGAACTGTCACTCTATCTTCCCTCACTCTCCAAACCTGAAAGTTCACCTTACCTTTTCTCTTGCTGTGCAGTCATGCATCCCTTGACAACAGGGATACGTTCTGAGAAATGTGTGGTTAGGCGATTTCATTATTGTGTAAACATCAAAGTATGCACTTACACAAACCTAGATGGTACAGCCTACTACATACCTAGGCTGTATTGTATAACCCATTGCTCCTAGGATACAAACCCATGCAGCATGTTACTGTGCTGAATACTGCAGGCAACTGTAACATAATGGCAAGTATTTATGTATCTAAACAGAGAAAAAGTACACTCAATTATGGTATAAAAAGAAAGAAGTACAACTGTATAGGGCCCTTCCCATGAATGGAGCTTGCAGGACAGGAAGTGGCTCTGGGTGAGTCGGTGAGTGAGGGTGAGCGAAAGTGAAAAGCTGGAACATTACTGTACCCTGCTGTAGACTTTATAAACACTGTACAGTTAGGCTACACTAAATTTATAAAAAGCATTTCTCTTTCTTCAATAATAAATAAGCCTTAGCTTACTGTAACTTTTTTACTAGCCAAACTTTTACATTTTAACTTTTTGACTTTCTTGTAATAACACTTCGCTTAAAACACAAGCACATTATACAGCTGTACCAAAATACTTTCTTTATATCCTTATTCCATAAGCTTCTTCCTATTCAATTTTTCTTAAATTTTTACACTTTTTGTTAAAAATTAAGACACAAGCACACCCATTAGCCTAGGCCTACACAGGGTAGGCTGGTCGCCATTTTCCACGTCCACGTCTTGTCCCACTGGAAGGTCTGCAGGGCAATAATGCACACGGAGCTGTCATCTCCTAAGGTAACAACGTCTCCTTCTGAAATCCCTCCCGAAGGCCCTGCCTGAGGCTTTTCTTGAAGAGATGTCACTCTTTTCAGAAATCTGTGCATGGTGGTTTGCTTGGCTTGCTTATTTTTGTCATCACAGACATGCCTCTAAGCAGATAATGCACCCTGAACGTTCCTCTCCATTAGTGAAAACCTTTTGGTGTTGAGGTCCATGTTTTTAAACTTTTTAAGGAGCTTGTTGAGGTCTGCAAAGGCTTCTGCTAAACCCTTCAGAGTGAATTTCCTGAGGGTTCCTTTTTTCTCCTGCAGTTTCCTTTTCTCTTGCCTAGTCTTCAACTATGTGTGCTTGTTCCAGTTCCAACAACTCATTAGTCAGCTCCGCGGGAACCACCTCTAGGAGCTCCTCAGTGGCATCCCCATCCACACTCAGCTTAAAGTTGTTGATTGCCATCTCGACATAGACTTGTTGGTTTTTGCAACCTTCACATCCTTAGCAGATCCTTTGAAATCATGGACAAGCCTCTTGAGTGTCTTCTTTCAGACGTTATTCATACACTCCTTGGTGACATCACCCCAAGCCCAAGCAAGGTTCTTGATGCAGTCACAGATGTTGTAATCCTTCCAGAATTGAATCAGCGTCTTCTCAGTGTCTTCCTCAGCTGCAGCAATAGCCTGGGCAAAGGTCCTCCTCAGGCAGTAGGCCTTAAAAGCTGCTATAACTCCTTGGTTGGATCAGACAGGTGGTGTTTGGCCCTGGCCAGTGTGGCTCTGTTGGTTGGAGTGTCATCTCGTGCACCAAAAGATGGTGGGTTCAATTCCCCATCAGGGCACCAGGCTGTGGATTTGATCCCCAGTCAGGGAGTGTGCAGGAAGCAACTGATAAATGTTCTCTCTCATATCTCTCTCTCCCCACCCCCCTCCATTCCTCTCTCTAAAATTAAAAAAAAAAAAGAGGTGGTGTTTGGAGGGAGAAACTCCACTTTGATACTGGGATAAAGATCACCAATAAAAGGAAGATGTCTAAGAGCATTATTAATAAGTAAAATCTTGAAAGGTACTCGCCACCCATTTTGCTAACAGCAATTCAGGAGGGTATCTTGGACAAGGAGCTAGATCATCCATGGCTGCTCTTTATTTTTTTCAATTATAGTTGGTATACAATAGTATAATAGTTTCAGGTGTACAACATAAGGATTAGACACTTAGATAACTTGAAGTGATCACCCCAGTAAGTCTAGTATCCATCTGACCCCATACGTAGTTATTGCTGTATTAGTGACTTATTCCCTATACCATACTTTACACCCTCATAACTGTTTTTATAACTGGTAATTTGCACATCTTAATCCCTTCGCCTTTTTAATCCTAACCTCAACCCCCTCCTGCCTAGCAATCATCAATTTGTTCTCTGTGTTTACGAATTTGTCTCTGTTTTGTTTGTTCACTTATTTTGTCTTTTAGATTTCACATATAAGTGAAATCATACGGTTTTTTTCTTTCTCTGATTTTTATCTTTTTATTTTATCTTGATGAGTCTGGCTAAATGTTTATCTATTTGTTTATCTTTTCAAAGAGCCAGCTCTTGGCTTCATTGATCTTTTCTACTGTTTTGTGTGGTGTGTGTTTGTTTTTGTTTTTATTTTGGGGGTTTTTTTTGTTTTACTTTATTTCTGCTCTGCTCTTTATTATCTCCTTCCCTCTACTAACTTTGGGCTTTGCTGTTCTCATTTTTTTGTTTTTGGTTCCATCAGGTGTATAGTTAGATTGTTTATTTGAAATTTTTCTTGTTACCTGAGGTAGACCTGTATTGCTATAAATTTCCCTCTTAGAACTGCTTTGGCTGTGTGTGTCCCATAGATTTTGGGTTGTTGTCTTTTCAACTTCATTTATCTCAAGGTATCTTTTGATTTTTCCTGTGATCTCATTGTTAACCCACTCATTGTTTAGCACCATGTTATTTAGCCTCCATGTGTTTGTGTGATCTTCAGTTTTCTTCTTGTAACTAAGTTCTAGCTTTATATGATTATTATTAGAGAAGATGCTTGATATAGTTTCAGTCTTCCAAAATTTACTGAGACTTGTTTTGTGGCCTAACATGTGATCTAGCCTGGAAAATGTTCCATGTACACTTAAGAAAAACGTATATTCTACTACTTTTAGGTGATTTATCCTAAAAATATGAGTTAAGTCCATCTGGTCTAATGTGTCACTTAAAACCACTATTTCCTTATTGATTTTCTGTCTGGATGATCTATCCATTGATATCAATGGAGTGCTATCCACAACTTCTTCTTGCTCCTGTAGTACACTGGCAGTGTGAACTTACTGATATGTTTGAAGGTCCTGGGGTTCTCACTATGCCAGATTACCAAGGGTTTCAATTTGTAGCTTGCAACATTGTTTCCAAGCACAACTGTTATCCTGTGCTTAAAAAACCTTGGAACCTGGCATCGATCTGGCCTCCTTATGGATGAAAGTCCTTTTAGGCATCTGCTTCTAGAATAGAAAAGTTTCCCACATATTGAAAATTTGCCCTGACAAGAAATTATCCTCCATAATCAATTTATCTAGAGTTTCCAAAAATTCTTCATCTGCCTTTACATCAGCACTCGCAGACTCATCACTCACTTTCACATTATGTAATGAGTAACAATTTCTGAATCATTTAAAACACCCAGAGCTAGCAGTAAATTCAATGTCATAGTCAGGTTCAACTTTTCCTTTCAACATTACAAACAAACTTTTAGCTTTGGCCTTCATGGTTCTGTGTCTGGTCTTCAATCCAGGTCATTAGAAGTTTCTCCATGTCTGACAGTCACTTCCCATTCATGTTAGTCTCATTTCCTTCAGTGAAGCAGATCCTTTAACAGCTTCTGTCCCTTTGTTCTTCCTGAATCTTCAAGGTCTTAGCTATGGTATGATGGGACATGCCTGACTGACAAGCAATAACCATCACTGGTTTTCCACTTTGTAGTTCTTAATCACTTTGTTTCCAGGTCAGTCATTCACCACGTGGCCTCTTACTGACATCATTAACAGTAGATTTTGTACACTTAGGGGCCATGATGAACAAAACATGAGATTAAATCAAGAACATGAGAAAATAACGCCAAAGACGTCTCAGCTCAAGCACCTTTTTGGTCTATTGCAGCACTGAAGAGATTGGATGATACCCACCCACCGTGGAGCAGGCCGTCTGCTTTACTCGCTTCATCAATTGAATGTTAATCTCCTCCAGAAACACCCTCACAGCCACACCCAGAAATGACATTTTACCAGCTA